CACTACACTAACGAGGTAATCAGTGTTTCGTCGCATTTCGGTCGAGGCAGTGTTTCGTATAGTGATGTAGAGATATGGAGACCCATTTTACTGTTAACAAGGTATTTTATCTTATTCTGGTTTATGGTTGACAATGCATCTGCATTTTGAATTATATGGACAATAGAGTATTGTACTGCGCTCTAGCTGCTGAAACCGAAGTATGCGTTTCGGAATTGAACACACGTTCGAAAAGCTCGCGTTCGAAATTCAAATGAGGCGGCACGCCCCACCCTCTGCCCCGCCGCGGAGCCATATACATTTAATTTTAGGTAAACTGGGTGCTCGCTTGACAACCTAACGGCCAAACTTATTAAGCTACTCAATTTTAAGATGTCATTAAGTCTCGTGGTGTCGCAGTCACTTTGACTAGATGTGATAGAGACAGCACGACGCTGAACAGCATTTTAAAATTGAGCAGCGTTTTATTACTGGGGTTTCTATAAAAAATATTAAGTGGTTGGACTCTTTTCCGTCTGGGTTGGTACGACCCTTTGGCCTATCTCTGCTAAGCAGCAGTGCCTGCATTGCTCCATTCCGGTCTGAAGAGTATAGGCAGGCAGAATTGTACGTAGTTATTTAAAAAGTATCCAACCCGCGATAAATTAATTTGAGTTTATGATATTTTAAGTATCTGACAATGCATCTGTAGCCTTTTTAGTCTAAAGTTGGTAGCAAGAGCGTGATCGATCAGGAGTACTTACAGTGCTCCTATGGTAAGTGGATCACTGGCCACTTCAATTTAAAAAAAACTGAAGCCGTTAGAAAAATTACTAATATAAATATAATGATGTTCTTTTCGCGGTAGAGCCATGCTGCAGCTATATTACTGGTATGTTTGTGGCATGTATGGGTCGGCTCGATCGGGGAAAGACCACGCTCTCACAGAAAACCAGCGTAAAATAGCAGATTAACGCTGCTGTGTTTCGTATGGAGAGTGTAGAGAACCGGAGACCCTTTTTACTGTAAAACGAGGCATTCCATCTTAGACCTCACGGGTGACAATGCATCTGCATTTGATTCGTAATCGAGGATATATGTAGATGTCTATGGGCCACAGCAACCACTTACCATCAGGTGGACTGCTCGTTTGTCACTTTTATCCTATAAAAAAATGAAGAACTACTACCCTCAGCGATATGAGTTAGCTATAAAATCCCCATTTTGAGTTTGGCTATTTTGTTGGTTAAGTGATTTAAGACGCTTCTGTTGATCATGGGTTCTCATCCCAAGTTGAGCCAAAATCAGTTATTGGGTTTTTTTTATAAAATAATTCTTAATAGCAACCCGGAATCAAAAGGCTGGCGGTGTTTCATCCTCGTGTCTCGGTTAGCACGTAAAGCCATTGGTCTTGCGCCTGATCTCTCCGAACGGTGATAGATCAATATGAGAGTAGGGGAATAGAGAGTGCAAATGTGCTTGCGCTTACAATAAGGCACTATAATCTAGTCCTGCGCAGATGGCTAGCTAACTAGTCCGCCGTAACTGCAATTCGATCTGAAATAGAATAAAATAGCATAATTTTTATTCAATATCGATTACATGTAATTCTTATTGAAAGACATTTTCAACTTTTAACACTGATTCGGAAAAATAACCTAGAAAGAACCAGCAAAAAACTAAGCGTGACTTTTTTTTTAAAGCATAACTTTTATACACCATTGTTATGAAAACATTTAGAAACAGCGTGGTAGCAATCACCTCATTCCCAGTGGATATTATCAATCATGTACTGTCTAGTAGTTGCTTAATAAATATTTTAAATTTTTGTGTAGATAAGGCATAAATTGCACCATGAAGCAATTACTGACTCTTTGAAGTCGTGTAACTGGTATAACTACCTTATGCTTGTTTCTAGTATTTACAGAATGTACAACGCTATTTTTAATAAAACTATTTTTGTTTATTTAAAAATTCTGCTCTTATGGATTCCTTCAGACCTAGGTTACAAATTGCTCATAGGAGTCTCTTTTGCATAACAAAGATAGTTTCAATGTCATGGAGGACTAACTATTATTATACTCGCCATAATCTTCATAATACAAGAGCAATGTAGTTTGATCCACGCTGGTACCATAAAATTGTCAATTACTATTTAAGTACTGATTTACGTAAGGTAAAGGACGGGAAGCGATGTGACGGGCGTATAGGCGGGCCCCAATAGGGGAGCAAATACCTGGTCAGAGTTGCAGAAAGTTGATGTAAGCAGATGGCTCAGGACGGTAATTTTGACATTCTTTACGTGAGTCCTATGTTCAGCAGTGGAATTGTGATGCTGTAATGATGATCGCAATGAAGTGATAATGTAATTATGAAGGTGTCTCAAAAGTGAAATATTTCTATGACATAATATAAAGCGCACTTTAAATGGCAGTTCTTTCCATTTTGTGAAAGGCTTATTGATGTAAGAACAGAATAATCTATTTTAAGGCTCTATCAAATATCAACGTCCTTGAGAAGTTGATCCAGTTCCGTAGAATTCTGCTGATTCACGTCAAAATTTGCCTACGTTCAGTATTACAACAGTCCAATTTGAACAACATTATCAAGACAGTTTTCTGAGTTCCAATTATATTCGAATTTCTCATTGAACGAATAAGTTAAACAACTTAAAGGTTTTCTTAAGGGAATTTGCCATCTTATGATTGAAATCATTATATTGAAATATGCCGTAAAGAAAATCTATATCAAGTGTATTGTGTAAACACACAATACGATAAATATTAATGAAATTGATGTATATTTGTCTGTAATATCGGAATAATTGATATTAACTCAGGGGGTTATTTGCATCCTATAAAATCACGAAATACTATTTTTAAATTTTTATCTTTCTGTCAGTCTATCCGCGCTTATCTGCGAAATGGCTGAACCGATTGTAATGAAACTTTACTAACAGATAGATATCAATGCCAGAAGGGATCTAGGCCAATCTATTATTTTATCTAAAAAAAATTAAGATTTTAACTTTTTAATAAACGAAAATTTACAAAATAAATACAAAAGTAGTATGATCTTAAATTGTAATAAATTTTATGTGGTAGAGCCATTTTGCAGCTATATTATGGTTGTAGCACGTAAACTTTTGGCTAGACCGGGGAAGGGTTACGCTATCACAGAATACCAGTGTAAAATAGCAGCTTCATGCTGCTTTGTTTCGTATGGTGAGTGTAGAACCGAAGAATCTTTTTACTGGAAACGAGTCATTGCGTATTAGATCTAAGCGTTGACAACTCTTCTAAATAGAGAATAAATGTAGATATCTATGGACCACAGCATCCACTTAGTCTTTTCATCCTTATTCTATAAAAAATAGTATGAGACTGTGACTCTTAGGCCACACAGCAATAGCATATAAGTTTTCCTTTATTTAAGCGAAGGCATTGGAAACTTCGCCAAAAGACAGATATAATGTTGGGCCTAATACTGGTCCTTGAATAACTCCAACGCTCAGTAGAAAGTGTTCGGGAAATGTTTGGACCATTCATACTATTTACGCCATGCACTTCGTATGCAACCGTAGTCAAATTGTTGTGAAAATAGGATCGAAACCAAGCAATATAGCTTATGTAACCTCGTAATATTTTAGTTTTGCTAGGAGATTTGGTATAACCTTTCGAGTGTACTGATTCAGATTTAGTAACTGTTCATTACGTAATCGAAAATGCATAAATTAATTAACTTTCTATTTTATCTTCTACCAACGTCACAAAATAGTCAGAATGAAGCCAATATCTAGTGATTTAAAAACGGCATTTTCTAGCACGCGCTTTAGCTTTAGTTCTGAGCTCGCATAAAATTGTCATAAGTCAATGTCTAGGTTTTATTTTATAAAATAGGATTAAACATAAAGTTATATGTTCAAAGATTTAAGTGAATATTTAAATTATTACTTATTTTAATAATTAATCAATTTGGTGAGAATATAGGGGTAAAATTAAAAAATCAACCGACAAATAATGAAAAGTTATCTACGCTACTCACAATGCAAATATACAACAAGTTTTAGATTTATTTTAAAATTTACCCTTTTTCTGTTATACAAATATTCGTATTTGGTTAATGTAAACAATGTGTAAAATGTCAAATATTAATTAATTTATGAGTTTATCATAGCTTTTTTTATGCTTATCAAAGGTAGCGAATTTGTCAGCCTACTCTATCACGTCATCGTTTTTAAAATAACTACTGCTATCATAAATAACCACGAAACGATAAAAACGATAACATTTGTATATACCCGAAAAAATGTTTGAAGCCTATAGATATATTTTCCGTGTACTGGCAGTGTAAGAGAATTCACTACTCCATATAAGGCGCTAAAGCTAAGGTGACTGAGGAAAACTAAAACAGGAGATGGGCAGCACCATCTTCCTGTTAACAACTCAAAATATTAAAAATTGCGGCTGCTAATTTTATTGGCAAATATGGAGGATATTTTGCAATCAAATTAGCAGCCGCAATATTTAACCTATAAGAGAGGCCATTCGTGGAATTTGGTAAGCTGTAAGATGATGATGTTACAAATATCTGTCCCGTGCGAGATTCAAACTTACATTTGTCATTTATACAATCGTTTATAATTTCCGTAATTAATTATTTCTAAAAAAACGATATTTTACGGTTTCAGTTTCTGAACGAATGGTTGAAACACTTTTCACTAGTCCTATTTAAACAACAGTCCGTTGCTTTGTACTTTGTATATTCAATATAGAGCTTACGTCGAAAAATAATTAAAGATCCTTTCGACTGTAGTGTCTCCTTTGTATTCGAACGTTACGGAGGCCAGTATTAGCTTAGTGAATATTTGATAATGCGCTTTTGTTCTCTCCATTAAATGCTATATTTTATTTAAAAAAAATAACAATAGCTTTTTTTAATACTACACAGGTGAGACCCGAAGTGAGCCAAAGCCAGCGGGTGCTGAATCCGTGTCAAGTAGCAGAAGCTTCTTACCCAGAATGTCGGCTATAATATCGAAATTGAAGTGCGGGGTGAGCACCAACACTCCCCCCTCCCTGGAAAATAATCCGATTATCCAGTACTTCGAGGTCGGGAAAGAGTGTTGCACTGCTGGCCCTGGTCTGGTGTGGAGAGTGCACGACGCTTATAGGAAGAGCGATGGAAAGGTAAGCTGTTGAGTTATTTTTTTTAGATTTCTAATATTTATCTATACTAATATTATAAAGCTGCAGTGTTTGTTTGTTTGTTTGTTTGTTTAAACGCGCTAATCTCTGGAACTACTGGTCCGATTTGAATGATTCTTTCAGTGTTGGATAGTCCATTTATCGAGGAAGGCTATAGGCTATGTGTTTTTTTTTTCAAAATTAGGGATCTGTAATAAAATTGCTATTTTGTAACACAAGGTGTAAAATCGAAAACCTATTTTTGCGTGCGCTGCAAAAACTATTGATAATAAAACAAAATGATGTACTACGGGTTTGTAGATCCCATTAAGACCTACAAAAAAGTCCGCGAGAACATATATCTAGCTATCATGGTTTAATCACAATAACCGATTTTGTGTTCAAATTAATTATTAAATCGCCTGAAGAAAAAAAAACTACGTTAAATATGTATCGTAATATTAATCTTTATCGAAATCTAGCATTATGGTATCAAGAGTATTTATGTAGAAGTAAAATACTTTTTGATTGTAAGTATAAGATCTTTGAAGAGTATAATAAATACATTTCGCTCCCCTATTTAAGAATGTTACTGCATCATGTTCGCGGTCCAATGTCATTTGAACATCTAAGGACAGTAAATGGTGTTATTTTCAATACTTATCAAGGAGCTTGCAAGGAATTAGGTTTACTGGAGGGAGATGAACATTGGCAAAATACTATGTCAGATGCTGTCATGTCCGAGCCGGCTCCAAAATTAAGAGAGTTATTTACCATAATCCTCATATTTTGCCAACCATCTGACCCCTTGCAGCTATGGAACAAATTTCGGGAAGATTTGTGTCAAGATATATTATACAGAATGCGTAATGAGACCCAGGATATGACATTAGCATATAGTGACGACATATACAATGATCGACTTATCATAATTGAAGATAAGATTCATGAAATTTGCGATAAATCATTAACTGATTTTGGGCTTCCTGCAACAAAAAGGAATAACACACACCATAATTTGGATCCTTTAGAAATAGCGTTGCGGAAGCCATACGATGTAAATGAATTAAATGAGTATATTACTGTAAATGAACCCAAGTTAGTTGATGACCAGGATTAGCAAAAGTAAGGTCTCAGGGAAAACTAGCTTTAGCAGTAGCGTCATCAGGAATCGCTGCAACTTTATTAGCTGGAGGATGCACAGCTCATTCCACTTTTAAACTGCCCCTAACCGTTTCGTTACAGAAAGATAGCGTGTGCTCTATTCGTAAAAATGGCCCTTTAGTAAAAGTTTTGCAAGACGTCACTTTAATAATCTGGGATGAATGTACCATGATTCATAGAGCTCACGTAGAGGCTCTAGATAGGACTCTTAGAGATATTAGAAGCTGTGATAAAATCATGGGTGGGATTACTGTCATGTTTGCTGGGGATTTTCGGCAAACTTTACCAGTAGTAGTAAGAGGAACTACAGCAGACATTGTAAAATCTTGCCTCAAAAGTTCTCCATTATGGAAATTTGTTCATACCTTAAAACTATCTACGAACATGAGAGCACATTTGGGGGGAGGTAGTACAAATTTTCCTTTGAAGTTACTTTTAATTGGAGACGGAAAAGTACCTCATTTTGAAAATAAAATACCTATTGATCAAGATTTAGGACAAAAAGTGACTAGCATTTAGAGTTTAATATCAAAAGTTTACCCAGATATCGTCGAAATAGAAAATAAAGATTATCAATGGATGTGTCAACGAGCAATATTGGCGGCGAGAAACAGTAGTGTTGACGAAATTAACGATTTAATTTTAACTAAACTTCCAGGGGATATAGTCACCTACACTTCTATTGATAATGTAATGGATCAAGAAGATGCAGTCCATTATCCACAGGAATTTCTTAATTCTTTAAACCCGAGTGGCCTCCCCCCACATTCTCTCAAGTTAAAAATTGGTGCCCCAATTATTTTACTTAGAAATCTTAAGCCACCAAATTTATCTAACGGGACTCGACTTCAGGTTAAATTTCTTCGCAATAACGTGATCGTTGCAACAGTTTTGTCTGGTCCAGCGGTTGGTCAAACAGTACTTATACCTCGGATCCCAATGATTCCAAATGATTTGCCTTTTCATTTTAAAAGAGTCCAATTCCCAATTAAATTATCTTTTGCCGTAACGATAAATAAATCACAGGGGCAAACATTTAAATATGTAGGGTTAGATTTACGGCAAGACTGTTTTTCGCACGGCCAACTATATGTCGCGTTGTCAAGATCAGGTTGCGGAAACAATCAATATATTCTTCTGCCACAAGAAAATAAAACGAAAAATATAATTTACTCAGAAGTACTTTAAAATAATATTTTAACCCGGTTTAAAGTGGACGGACACTCCCGCCTGTAGTCGTAATTCTTATGTGTCTGGCTGAATGTCGAACAGACAGACAGCTATTGCCTGCGACTTATACAATTTAACTTAATCTATATTTTTCTTAATATTATAAAGCTGAAAAGTTTGGTTGTTTGTTATGAACGCGGTAATCTCGGGAAATACTGTTCTGATATGAAAACTGTTTAAATATTCAATAGTCCATTTATTGAGGAAGGCTATAATATAGGCAATATTTTATCTCGGTATTTCCACGGAAACGAGAAAAACGCGGGTGAAACCGCGGTGTACAGCTAGTCTATAAATAAAAGTTATGTAACAGTTGAATTTTTTTTGTCCAATTGGTGTCGAAAGAGACAACTGTGGGAAATACCAAAAGGATCTTATAGCTTTTGATAAATGTTGGTATTACCATCTCCGAACGAAATCACTGGCATCAAAAAATTAAAAACAAATTAAAAGTTTGACGTTAAGATGTCATGTTATGTATTCTTTTTAATTATTCCAATTTTTATATTAATTTTTAATATTCTTTTTTGAGTAGAATAAGGAAAATATACCTAAAAACTGAACGAAATTCTCATTGTCGTCTAAATAGTTTCATTAAAAACTTAATCCACTATTTTCCCCACCTTTAAGACATTATTTTACACATTAAGACATAAGATATCTTCCATCCATTAATAAATATTTGTGGTATCAGTATCGGCGTTTGACTCGTCACTATGAAGTAGTTTAATAAGTGTTATATCTATATAAATACTTAAGTCACCTGCGGATAATTTCACATAAAAGCAATTAGATCTCCAAATTTATATAGCCCTAGAATATAACCTATTTAATAGAAAAAAAATCAAAATCGGTTCACAATTGACGAAGATATCGTGTAACATATATACGTAAAAACATACAGTCGAATTTTTAACCTTCTTCTTACTTTTGTCGGCTTATAACTAGACCGGCAATGGACAGTAGCTTACAGGAGCGATACGTCTGGTACTATAACTGTCTATCCGCCCGTCAAGTGTGACTATTACGAAGAATTGGTAGAATTGTCAGATACATTTTCGTTGAAGCACGAATGGGTCCGTCTTACAGAACACCAGCGTAAAATAGCAGTTTAATGCTTCTGTGTTTTGTTTGGTTATTGTAGAGAATCAGAGACACATTTTTACTGGAACAGAAACAGAAACTTTTTTATTCAATATAGAAGCTCATAAATAATACTCATTGAAAGTCACTCTTTTGTTTAATTACCACTGGTTCGATAAAAAGCCTCTGTCCTGGAAGGAACCAGCAAGAAACCCAGCGGGACTTGTTTTTTAAATAACAGCTTAAAATCATGTATGTTACAAAATTAAAAACACAAAACAAATTAGAAAAAGCTTGGTAGCGATCACCTTGTTCCCAGGGGTTATTATCATCTATAAATTCCTTAATATTATAATAACCCGTTTTATATAAAGTTTTTGAACTTTGAGCAGGGTAAATTTTGTATATTTTCGAAGAAAATTTAACCCGTATACATCGTCCCAAGAATAAATTACCGACTCGGTGTAGTCGAGTACCTGGTTCTACTAGCCTGTGTCTGTTCCGAGTATTTACATTTTAGTTTTAGGCCAAAGTTAATATATTAATTTCCTTAAATTTTTGTCGGAGCGACTCTTTAGGTTTTAAATCATAGATTACTCTTATGGCCCTCTTCTGTAATACAAATATAATTTCAGTGTCATTCGCGTATCCCCATATCAAAATACGATAAAACATTATGCTATGGAAATAGCTAAAGTAAACAAGTCTAGCTGTTTCCACACTGGTAAGATTTCTAATATTTTTTACAGCATATGCTGCAGAACTAACTCAGCTTGCTAATTTTGATATGCGGGGGCTCCATTGAAGCTTCGTGTGTAGTGTTATTCCAAGAAAAGTGGTGGTATCGACAAGACTCAATTCCTCCCCAATTAAAATTGCATTAGTATTTAATTGTTTGTCGTTTGGAGTCATGAATTTTAGCCGCCGCTGGCACAGGCGTCACCCGTGTCAATGTGTGTGTAATTCTTCCGAAGTACGATAACGACCGCCACCGGCGGGACGGCAGCCTGTAAGCGAGGAACACAGTTCCTTTAGTGTACTAAGCGAGCACGCGTCTCAGGTTTGATAAAATAAATCTACCTCAACCAGTTATGTGAACAATCTAATCATTTTCCCCTCTACACATGCCTTTATGACACACCAGAATCCCAGTAACACAACATTGGTGACCCCGACTTAGGCCTTGGGCGGGAGTGATACACGTCGTGCCGCAAACTCCACGACAGAATGGCTCAACCAACGCCAAACCCGCCGCTGACCCCAATGTCATTCCGACCGGGCAAAATAGCCACCATCGGCATCACGTCGCGTATTCCACCATTTTGGACCGACATGCCCAAGATGTGGTTTCCACGTTTCGAGGCTGTGATGGGACCACAACACCAGGGGGGACGGGTCAAGTACGACATGGTAGTGAGCAAGCTGGGCAAGGAGGAACTCAGTCAGGTTAGCGACCTCATAAGCAACCCACCGGATCAAGGTCGCTACACCGCACTGAAGACCAGGCTCCTCTGAGTCTTTCAAGC